GGGGCCAAGAGAAAAAACAGGCAGACCAGTTGTGGTTTCTGCCCCGCTGTTTCTATGCAGAAAGTGGATAGGTCAGGGATTGTTTTCAACTTGCACACTGGATGAACCAGCACTTGTCCTGTTGTCTGCACCTGGTTGGGGCCTACGAGTTACCGACTGGGCATTTGTCTGGTCATGCAGCCAGGGTGGTGGTTTAAAGCCAAAAAGGATCGTTTAAACCGCCACTACCTTTCTCATATGTCGGCTTTGGGGTGGGTCCCACTCGTTTCAGAGGCCGGTAGTCGCCGATGAAAAATATCAGCGGCCACGCGGGGGCAATTTTTTCGGAGGAGGTCATTTTCCCAAATGGGACTACAGCTGCTCGAACGGTGGTGGTGGTTTAAGATGACTCTGTCAGCACAATGATGAATATCCTCAATGTTTCTTGGTCCACGTCTGTTGATCAGGGTGGGATCAGGCACTGTAGTCGAACTTCTATGATGAGGAGATGACCATGACTGCCCAGACTGCACCGCGAGTATCGGGAAGAGTCGTGCACGGCAGATGTCCTCTGAGACTTCTTGTAGACAAAACTCGCTCAAGATAAAAAGCTAACCTTGACAGCCTAATTCCTCGTGATTTCCATACTACCTGTAGTTGGGCAAATATAAGCTAGGGACATGCCTGAGCACCTGCAGCTACAACGAGAAAAATAAGGAGGGCAATACAGGGGGCCAGAGGATGGGAGGCAGAGGAAAAAGAAGAACAAGGGTAGGAGGGAAAAGGGGTAGAAATCTAGGCTACCAGAGTGGCCCGGGACCACTTGCCTGGCCAGGCCCAAAAAAAACTTGAAAACAAAAATAAAAAACTAGGCTACCAGAGTGGCCCAGGGCAACTTGCCCGGCCGGGCCAAGAAAAAAAAATAAAAATATATATCGTCAAATAGAACTGCCCGGTAAACCGTAGGCAGAGAGGGAGAAGAGGACAACAAACGAGGGGCTGTGACAAACTGTTTATATATCGTCATTCTTTAAAATTTTTAATTTTATTTTACATTTCGTAAAGAATTTGGACATGACCCTGAGGGAAAAGTTGTTCAGTTTATTTTTCTGCATCACATGATTCACATCGTCTTTTTTTGAAGTTTTTCAGATTTTTTTTTTTTTATTATTTTTTTTTATTTTCATTTGCTGGGCCCTTCCGTGGCCCTTGCACGGCCAGGCCGCCTGCTCAAACAAGGTGACTCCCGGCCGGCCCGGCTGGCAGCCCAGATTTTATATAGGATAACTGGGGTTTGGGACGGGCCAAACGCCCAAACCCGAACGCCCGAACGAATGGGACCCCTTGGGGATGCGTTCGGCCGCTCGGGCCGAACGCGGACCCAAAAAAAAAAAAAAAAAGGAAAAAAAAAGGAAAAAAAAAGTCGGAAAAAAAGATATGTTATGAAGAAAACTAAATTAAACAAGATTCGNAAAACTAAATTAAACAAGATTCGCCTGAGCATTACATCCAAATTCCTTACCAAATTTGAAATAAAAATAAAATACGGAGAACAAATACTTATAATAAAAATAAATAAAAATAAAAAGAGAATTAAACTTAGTGAGTGCGCGAGCATGTTTTTGACACCGCCATCTTTGGCAATTTTCCATTTTTTTTTTTGGCATAGCTAAATACCCTGAAAATTTACAGATGTGTACTTCACATAATACAAAACACACTAAAAAGTTTCAAAAAATAATAAAATTGTTTAGACTCAAAAGTGAAAAAAAACGTGGGCGAGCACCTTTTGACACCACCATCTTTGGCGATTTTTAATTCTTATTTGGCTGAGCCAAATGATTTCAAAATTTGTAGGCATGTACCTCAAGTCATAGAGAACTCACAAAAAAAAATCAGAAAAGAAAAAAAAAAATTACTATTTTTTTAGGCCCCGAAATAATTTTTGGCGGGGGCCGAACGCCGTGGGGTTCGGACCCCGTAAGGGACCCCGAACGCCCGTACGTATGGAGGTCGGCCCGGGGACCTCCATACGTACGGGCTGGTGACCCTGTATATATATATATCGTCACAAACAGAACTGCCCGGTAAACAGTGGGCAGAGAGAGAGAAGAGGACAACAAACGACGGGCTGTGACAAACTGTTTCGTCGGATATATATAGTTTCACAAATTGCGTTCTTTTAGTTCATAGTTATGTGACATGGAGGCAAAAGTTGTTCCCTTTTTTGATTTTATTTTTTTCCTATACTGCATCTAGCTTTAAAGAAGACACACTGAACAGCTCTACCTGCGGAGAAATTGCCTTTTCCTTCCTTAGGCATTGCTGTCTTATCTGCGAAGGGCTTGACTACCGAATCTGACAGCGTCCCCTCTCGAAATTGGTGTTGGCATCTGAAAAGCCCAGTAATCCTCCCCAAAAGTATAGAATGTTTAGAAAATAGCATGCAGCCCAGAATGAACTTAACCTACAGTCTTCCCCCGAACAAAACGCACGTATGTACTATTCAACTTTCCCTGGAAAACTCGATTTTTCGAAGTAGCTCCCGAAAATCCGAATAGTATGCATGTTCAAATAGTATGCACATGTGTACTATTCGAATAGGACGCCTCTCTCTCTCTCTCCCCCTCTCTCTCTCTCTCTCTCTCTCTCTCTCCCCCCCCCTCTCTCCCCCCCCCCCCCCCCCCCCCCCCACAGGGACTCTTCCCGTATCTGGCCGCAATCGCCGCAGAAAACGGGATTACCGCACGCTCCAAGAAACGACTGGCCGAAGACACAGCTCGAAGTACTGCGGCGAGAAGAAAAGACAGGCCGAACTGCTCCTCTCTCTCTCTCTCTCTCTCTCTCTCTCTGTCTGTGGCTTCCCTATCACCGTCTGATGTGGTGGTCTTCTTGTCTATGTACAGTCGGGCCTCGCTTCACCCCCACCCCTCTACACATGCAGGATGTATACTTCCGTGTGCTAGGGGAAGATTCATTCTGGAGACTTTTTTTTTTTTTTTCGGTAATGAGGACCATTTCTCGATTTATGTGTATAGCTCCAACTGTGACTGATGCCCTAAGGACAGGCCCGTGGCTGCAAGGGCATATAGCGGATTTTTTCTGAGAGCCCGTTTTCTGAAGTTAGTGCCCAAAACCCGTAGCATACCGCACGTGCGTTGTATACGAATACAAGGCACCTTGTGCGTGCGTTTTGTTCGGGGGAAGACTGTAGGTTGTGGGGGCCTTATGGGGCTGACATCCCAGCTGGATTCTACAGGTCCAGATTATCTGATCATATTGCCTAAGCAGCGTCCAGAAAGGTCTGCCCATTTTAGTCTGCCAAAAGTGCACACCAGTTTCGGGCCCTTTTGCCCGACCCTGACTGGAAGATGCTGCTGGGCAATCTCCACCGATGAAACCTATCGCCACAAGAGGTTTTGAATTCGTTGGTGACCCATCCTGCAGACGGAGAAGGATCAGCAGCTCACTCTGTTCACGCAGTCAGAGGCAATTTGATAAAAAGATTAAGAATCGCAATATCAGGCACCGCAGTGTGCTGAACAGTTAGTAGATGAGGAGAGAAGCAGTTTGACGGGAATCGGGAGATTGTGTGTCCCAGAGTCATTGAGTTACGAGACGCTGGACTCCAAACCACCAGTGTATGGCCCCATCCAAGTTGAGACAGTCCAATTGGGGCTCGAGACAGGGCGTCCGAAGGGTCAGTAGGGAAAAAAAAAAGGTCCCATGCTATGGGGCGGCACTAGACCCAGCCCTGAACAAAACAATTCTAACTTCTAAATTATTCCGCCCGCCCCCAGGCGGGCCCTGTCCCGAGTCCCCTAACTTTTTGGAGAGGCTCATTCGAATTCTTCAGATCTACTGGCAGTAGTCTGGTACTTTTTAACCAACAACAATGGAAGTTTGCAGTCACAGGCTGACAAGTAGCAGGATTCACCTTCAGCACACATACTACTAAGGATAGGCAAACTGCGAAACCATAATGGCAACACAGGTGGTTGGTAAGACCAGAGAAGACGCACAGCTATTCACGTGCAAAGTAATACTGTGAGAAGGAAGATGATGGGACTAATACAAGAGAAGACATGCATGCAGCTATCCACCTGCCAGACATTCTGAAAAAGGGTCTGTGTACCTAACAAGGCAACTTATCAGTGACAGGACCAGGATGATCCGGGCATGGTAGGTAAACAGAGAAATCATAGGAGCACGGCTAATGATCGGCTATAGACCAGATGAGTCCACGCAGCAATGTTCGGTGAAAAACTGATATATATACCTAAGTAGTCCACAAATCAGACTGTGCACACGATCGCAGTCAGCAGACAGGACCTGTCTGCCATGATGGCGATGGAGGTCACGACTTTCCATTCTGGGAAAAGCTGGGACACATGTTAGGCAGCAGCTAACCATCTTCACATGAACGTTCTCGCCCAGTAATTAACGCTGTATCTGGACTCGAAGTTGCCCCAAATGCAGCTATAATGACCGGGCGTTCTATTTGGGTGAAGACGGTAACTGCAATTTTGCACAAATTTGCTGGAATTCCCTCCATATCTCACCTGCTGAATTCTGGTTCCCTGGCATTCATCTGATGATAATAGTGGATAATAGTGGTTCACAGAAAGCATCATTTGTGCATGTGCATTGGGCGGACCCCGGCGGAGTAACAACACTCATGGTGTATGAGGCAGAATGTACGTACTACGCTATTCGTTCTATTGAATCTATTTCTCAACTACGGGAAGGAATGACAACATGACATGTTTACTACATAACTACCGCGGGTATGGCGGGTATGGCACAGGGCTACTTCTTCTCAGTCTCCTCAGACTCTCCTGTATAAACTACAATTTCCTTTTGACCTTGACGGGATATTTACCATTTCCGTATCTCCTTAATGTCAGACGAAAGACAGCAGAGCAGGAAGAAACAAGGAACATTGTTGCAGGTGTGGACGTAGATGACCCCATGGCATGCTTCCAGAAGCTCTTCAATGTTTCCGGCCGGAAACAGCATACCTTCGCACACATCCATCTCGGTGATCAGTACGTTCACCATGTGAAGGACTGCTTGCCGGCGTGCATAATCCTCCGCCTTGGGTTGCAGACGAAGGCACACATCCGAAAGCATCCGATTGAGCAAGCCGACTCCGAAACTGCTGCTTGCATGCAGAAGTTCTATAATCTCATTCTTCTTCAGCTTTGCCACTTCCAACGCGCGGCCAGACACTGGTTCAGCACAGTCCGCTTGACGTGTCTTCCCACCTTTTCCATCATCAACTGGAAAACACATATTGCCTGGAAGCCCAAACGAGTACAACAGACAGCACAAGACCATCAGAGTCCGTCACCATCAAGCATTCATTTCGCTTGACGCCCAACGCGTTCAACATTAAGATGCCATTTATGTACCAGAAACAATCTTTATCTTTATTTATCTAGCCTAAAGACTTGGTCAGGACCACAACAGTTTGCAGCAAAACCGTAATCAGCAACAAACGTCTCTCTTCAGAAGGTGTTACCTGTGAATCTGCGAATCAAGGTTGCATACCTGCCGACCGCCGACCCCAACCACCGACCATATCGCAGACAACCAGTAGGGCCGACCAGTCAGAAAACAACCATTTACTGAGTCTTTTTTTAATCTGAGTTGGGGACTGTACTGTGCTTGCTGAGTACAGCCCAAATCCGCTGCGCAACTTTTGGGGATGGGGGTATAGGGGGTATTTGTGGGAGG